AATTTACTCGTTTTGAATCAATACCAGCACAAAACGAGCGACCAGATCGACACTACAGTTTTGAACGAGCAAGAAATCTTACCTTTGGATTTAAATCGAAGCAACACTCGAAAGCGACTGGAGCTTACCAACAGGCATTGAGGGATATAGATAAAAAGGACGATCGATCAAGTAATAGATGATTCAAAACTATCGATCCATCCAGTTTTTTGGGAATGGAAACATCAGGATCAGTGTTCAAATGGCTATACCGATTCAAATTAAAGCTACTTAGTTAAGCAAAGAGGACAAACCTGCCCGGAACCAGTGAAAGCGATTAAAGGGTTTTTTTCAAGTCTAGCGGAGTGGAGAAGACAATCGATCGGGTGGACGGATGGGGAAAGATACAGGAAGGAAGTGTACAACTAATCAAGTGAATAGGTGATCAAGACGATGGAAGAGGATGATCGACTTGGAGGAAGGGACGATGATAGAATCATAGAGAAAAGAGACGATGGAGTTTAGAGAAGGAGGACGGTTGATCGAGTGGACAGAGGGGGGAACAGGATAGGGAGACGGATGAGATAGACGAGGGTCAAATAGTGATAGATCGATGGAGGGATGGATGGAGGGGATGGTTGAGAAGGAAGAGGAAAAGGATGACCGATCGAGTAGTGGAGGGAGGAGGATGATGAATCTGCTGAAGGAAGAGAGTGAAGCGAACCGAATCGAGGAGCTCTTTAAGTACTCACGGATGGAGGGACAAAAACCGCGGAGGAGTCCTTTTTTTCCAGGGGGACCCCATTGACCCCCGAGGAAGAAATTGCATAGAAACCATTTTCTTATTGATTGAATTCCTTTGATGGTTGACTAACAATGGATGGGCTCGGTTGACGCTCACGCCTAGACGTAGTGAGTTGGACGAGCTGGGGCACTGGTTATTGAAGCTAAGGGAGTCGAGCCGATAGGAGATTTAAAGTCATCAGGCCAGCAAAGATACGGAAGAGGCGATCCACTAGTCGGAGAACGGGAGTAACTACTAACGATGGCAGTGCGGCCAGTTTAGTACGAAGCACCTACAGTTCTTTGAGCATCGTCGAGAGTGGAGAGGTGGATCAATCAAGAAGAGGATAGTCAATAGAACCAAGCTGGGGTGGGCGGATCGAGTTTCTTTAGACTGTACACTACCGGCGAGGGTGAGGAGATCGTCGAGAAGACTGGTTTAGAGGTGGATATCTGGAGAGATGATCGAGAGGGGAGTGGTAGCGGGGATAGTGCAGGACAGGATAGGGGACCAGTTTAGTATAGACGCTACCGGGTCGAGACCGACGAAGATGAGACGATTGTCGAAGACGGGCAGATTTAAGAAGACGGGATAGTTAACGTGGATGGCAGCGCGGCCAGTTCATGGAAGAAGACCGGTCGAGAGGTTGATAGCTGGGTGGATGATCGAGAGGTGGTTGAGAGGAGGATAGGAAGTGTATACCGGGCCGGCTCGAGCTAGTACATAACTGGGACGGCGGGTTCCTTGCGTCAAGCCGGATATCTGAGACAAAGACACTAGAGAAATGTGGACAAAGCTATGAGTACGACTGAAAGATAAGGCGGAAAAGTGAGGAGGGACTTACTTAGGACAAAGATCCAATTCGCGACTAGTCGGCCAAATGCGAATTTAGACCGGGTTGGATAATCCAGAATCGAGAAGATCGTCAAAAAGGATCGACCGATAGTTGGATAGTGGATAGTCGAAGGGAGATGCGCTACCGGGCCGGTGCAGATAGGCTAGGATATAATCAAGAGCTGTGAAAGGCTTGTGAAAGGCCTCCGAGACGGAGAAAGGCTAGAAAAACGGATTGGGAGCGGGTGGCGCGGCTCTCAGGACTACTGCGCGCGCAGCAACCCAGATCCGAGGATGTGAAAGGTTCAGTGAACGGTGCAAGGATTTCCACACCCAGACAACCTCATAAACTCCAAATTTGGAGTCAACAAACCAGGACCTTAGTTCAAGTCCCCAACTAGGCAAAACCAGTTACACCTACACAGAATTCAACACCAAGGAGATGGGTTCCACTCCCACCCTTGATCAAATTTTATACACAATAAACCTGGGTTCAATTCTCACCCAAGGAGTAAAATTCTGAAAAATGAGAAGGCTCCCCTGTTCAATTCCCAGTCTCAATCAAATTTAGCCACAAAAATAAAATAAAACAAAAAAAATTATCAAAGTTTATTATTATAATTATATCATCTAAATTTAAATTCTACCATAAAAAAAAAATACACAAGGATTAGCCTTCAAACACAGTCATAAAATCAGAATTGACTGGGGACAGTCAATAAGTTGGGGGAGGATGTGGTCATTATTCCTGTGTATGAAGGGAGGAAAATTCAAAATTTTATTATTTATCAATGAAGGACTCAAGATACGGAAAAATGGATGTCAGAAATGGAATCCACGGCCAATTTAACCCCTAGTCACTCACTGGAACCACCTTCATATCTCTACTGGATCAGAAGTTACGCAGAATCAAGGATGTCACACGGGGAATCACAGGATCAGAGGCACTCAGCTGGAGGGTATATTGCATGGGGGTATATTGCATATTGCATATTGAATTCCTTTTATCCATATTGAATTCCTTTTATACTTACAGAACCACAAGTTGGCCACCAGTTGTACCAGTTAAATTCCCATTTATTCAGCCACAGAACACATGAATTCCTTTCTTACAGCTTACATATAAAAGGGATGCATTGTAGATAGTCTAGCAAAAATCCCTCAGGATTTTCAAGGATAGGGCAGCTAAAATGCCTCATACAGGGGGTCCCTTGGGGCTAAAATCCCTCATAATTTACTATATAAGGAGGCCTCTGCCTGCCAGTTGTTTTCCTCCTCATCCCACTCAGTACACATTTTTGGTGGGACACCTGTCACAGATTACACATATTTATTACACAAGAAGTTCACGAGTAGTACAGTTCACAGATTGAAATATATACACAGTTCATTTCACAAACATTACACAGAAGAGCCAGTCCTTTGTTCCAGTCCTGGTTGAAGCATAGTGCTCCCAGACCCTTAGGGTTCAAGAACCACCTCTATTACATTATACATATACAGCATCAAGGAAGAGCACGAGTATCAAGACATCAAGACGAGAAACAACATCAACAACTCAATCAATTCTTTGGACAACAAGATCAACCTTCAACAATTATACAACCATCTTTGAACATAATCCATTATCACCAACCAAACTGCCAAGCTTACCTTGGTGGTCTTGTTTTCTGATAATATAGAAAGGCAGAGTTTGCAGCTCATTTCATCCCTTTCTCCATTCAGCAAAAAGGATCTTACAATCACTTTTTGAGTCTTACAACGGCCGACAGGGTTTCTCCTCTCAGCCGTTGAGAGTGTACACCTCGACAGCAGAGAGGAGAAACCCTCTTGGCTTCAAGAGTGTTCATACCCTCAACGGCCGAGAGGGTTTCTCCTCTCAGCCGTTGAGAGTGTATACTCTTGACGGTGAGGGGAAACCCTCTCGGCATTGAGAGTGTACATACCCTTAACAGCCGAGAGGGTTTCCCCTCTTGGCCGTCGAGAAGGTGCTCTCAGAGGCGATTCTTCCCAGCCGCTGCCGTGGGGTGGGGGTTGGTTTGGTTCATCAACCCCCAAACCCTGGTCGGTTTGGGAGGATCGACTCCCAAACCAACCGGGGGTTTTTATTTATTTTTATTTAAATTTTTAGGGAGTCGACTCCCAAACCGGTTGACGGTTTTGGGGGATCGACTCCCTAATTTCGGGGGTTTCGGTGTTTGGGAGTTGACTCTCCAACTTTGGGGAGTCGATTAACCAAGCCTCTCTTTATATATAGAGTGAAGAATTTTTCTTGTTACTTTGAAAATAGGGGGTATCAAATATGAAGAATCTGAAAACTTAAACCCCCATTTTCTTCTAAACTCTTGAACCATTTTTAATGAACAATTATGGAAAGTAGAAGTTTAATATGATGTATCTTTATTATTACACTTCATCTGGAAAAATCCATCAGACTAAGAGAAAATGGTACTTTAATCTTTGAGAATTTTCATATTTGATACCCCCTACTAGAATAACATGAAGATAAATAATAAAGATAGCTAACAGTTTAAGTTTTTCTAATAAACTTATCCAGTTATCTTGGTTCTCTAAAAACTAAAATAACTTAGTCAAACTTACCACTTCATTTTTATCCAAGTATTATCATTAGAATTAGCAGATTTGTTCTGCCTTCAGTTATTTCTTTGATTTTCTTTTATTTCTTTCAAATATTTTACCTAAAATTAATTAACTATTATTTTTTTAAAATGATAAATACTTACAAAGAAATGAATAATTCAGTTCCAAATTCTTTTCAATGGAGATGCTCTAAAGCTTTTCCTTCCCCTTTACCTGGACAGCAGAGATCCTTCTCTCCTGTTTAGGTAAGTATCCTATCTTCCTTCTTTCTCTTCTAACTTCCTTTTTTCACTTTCCTTCAATTGTAGATACTAATGAGAAATCCATCTCTCCTGTATAAACTGCAATTAAATCCACTTTGGCAATAGAAACTGCCCCCCGGGAGCTATTGAGCTGCTTTTCTAGTGACTTTCTGGCGAACAGTGAAGTTTTGAAAAACAATCCTTACATTCATTAGTTCATCATCCATTTAAATTTAATAAGCAAAATATAATAATGGGAATATGTGTCATCTTATTTCATCAAGTAACAACTCTTTTAGGGCAATTATTGCATGCACTTTTTCTGTATTTTTCAGAAACAATCACAGGGGCCATACTCAGAGGTTAAGTGTGCTTTTGGGATTGAATTTTCCAGTCACACTCAGAGGGACGGGTGATCAATGAGAAGATTTCCATAAAAATCTCAAAAGGAGCCTCTTCTAGTTCTGTATTACAAGCCAGTAGTCCAGGATTTGCTTGTGGAATTTATTGTGTATTTTTAAATTCTTTGAGAGAGAGCCATAGGAAAATCTACATAACAGTTACTGCTTGATCAAGGCATTCAATACCACATGATTTTGATAATTTCTGCACAGATTTGCCTGGTTTTTGTTTCTTAATAAGGGCCCATGCTTCAACTGTTTATTATGCAAATCATGATTAAGATTAATCAAACAAAAGAGCCATATAGTCACACCAACTTTCATACTCCTAGCTCTGAATTGTGCAAAGTCTACCGTGAAAAGAAATTGGCAAACTCCTTTGGGTGATTGACTTGATACCAACTTGCCAGAATAAATGCAGCTGTATGTCTGGTTTGGGGATAAGAAGAAAGTGAAAGGGTTGAGCTAGAGAAGTAATCAATCAGTGACAGCTGAACTGGCCCAAACAACGCAGCACCTGCAAGCATATTTGCCTGCAAAATCGACGGATTAATGTCATCTTGGATTGATCCAAAAACCGGGTAGCTCTCCTGTGGGTTTATTATCTCTTTTCCAATCCAAGACAACAGATCCAATCTTCTTTCTCTGCCCATCTCTTCAGTTATTTTCAACCGCTTCAGAATCTTTACATGGATCAACTCGACCGCCTTAATCAAATGATTATAAACGGATAAAAACGGTCCAAAGCTGTATGGGAGATTCCTCGGAGGTGCCAAAACACGCATATTGTTTTTGCTCTCGTCGTTGGATAGAAACGCGATCCGTAATACCGCATGGTTTACTTTTCTGCAAGTTCGGTGAATCTTTGGTTGTGAGTTTAAGGCGTTTTCAAAATTCCAAGAAGCTTCATGAAACACATCGTAATTGGGGTGATGCTTGAGCCATCGTCCGCCGTCACTACTGAGAAACTTTTGAAATGTTGCGTCTGTGGCTGGGATGTTGTAAAGAAAGTAAAACCTATCCTGGAGATAAGGATCCATACGAATTTTATTTAATTCTTCTAGGTCCTTGATTTTTCCAAAGCGGTTTCGAATAGCTGATTCATCGCCTATGGATTTGGAAAATGACCAATGAGCTTCATGAGGAATAAGCGAGAGACTAGGAGATTTGGAGTCATAAGGCACAAATTTAAGGGGCTCATTGGATCAAGTTATCAGATTCCTCTCATTACATTTTTTTGAAGGACTACGCACTTTCTTGACAATCGTAGTAAGATTCTATCAGATCAGATGCCAAACTAGGGAGTTGGGCCTTTGTACCATCCGAAAAGTATATTGCCAATCGTTCCTGCATATGTCCGAATTCAGTGTTTTTAAAGTCATCTTTCCAGCCTTTCGCCGTGGGGTTGCTGGTACCCAGGAGTGGAACACCATTTGCAGGGTTAAGAATTTCTCCGTTCAGCCGGTCAAATATGTTTCTTACGTGCATTATGTGCTCGACTGGCGTATTGAGTCGTTCTAAGTGCAAATCATGGATCATCGAAATCAAGTTCCTATAAAGTGATTCTAAAACATCATATCTCCGGAGCTGTTGGCGGGAACTGTCTATAATTCTTATGGTCCTAGACGCTGAACCACTTTCATTGAGCTTACAACAGAGGGGCAATGTTGCATGGATAGCTGTCCATGCGCTGTTGGAGAATCTAAGATCGCGTGAATGAAGCCTCTTGGACATCGCTTGGATATATTCGTATACAATTGGTACCGTCGTTCCAGAGCTTGGATTGAATGGATTCGTCACCTGGATGTGATTGCGTTCAATTGGGTCCAAGGTTTTACTAAATCGGGGTTGCTTCCTGTTTCTGAAATCTGATGGTTTCACAAAGGCCTCAGCGCTTTGAGAGGGGTGAGCTGTCGTGGCGATGTCCGAGTTGAAAAGTGAAGCAAGCGCCTCAGCCTGGGTTTGAGTCTGGCCACAATTCACTTCACCGTCGCCGCCTAAGCTGCGGTCATTCCGAACTAGAGGATTTCTGCCAGTGGGGTTCACCGCTATCGCTTTCTCAGAGGGGATCGGTACATTGCCTGAATCAACTCTGTTATAAGGATGTGATGAGCAGGACATAAATCCTGAATCAAGTGCTGTTTCTCGAGGCGGAAGCAGATGCGCGTGACTATGTTTCTTGCGCTTTCTTGACCCTGGCTCTTCATCGAGCCGCGGAGTCTCAACTTGTAAATCAGGCCAGGATAGTCCGTCAACAACGGGAGAGGCTGAGGGCCACTTGTGGAGTTGCTGGCCGGTTAGCGGTGACTGTAAGGTAGAATGCCCAGGGTAGTTCTATATCATCAATGCCAAATTTGATTCGCACGGCTTTGAAGCACCGTTCGAACTGTGATATTCACGCAAGCTGGGGAATAGTTCAACAATTGGATCACCTAGTTCTGCGAAAGGTCCTTGATCCCGCCAATCGTACTCCAGGTCCTCCAGAAAGGCCGAAACTGATGCTAAGGACAAGAAAGCGAGGTACAGATGATACCAGCGCATAGCTGAGGACTTGCCGTCGGGAACCAGCATTTTCCGGGCATGAAGAATTCTCCACCAAGCATTGACAGCTGCTTAAGGTCCCGACAGAAACAAAGAACCTTCTTCTCTGAATCATATCACATCACATGAAACCACTGTGTGGCTTGATCCTTGGTGTTACGGAAAATGTTCATGGTGAGTTTCTCTCACTGGAAGCTGTTGGACACCATACACCAGTCCTCCTGGTATCAGCATGTGTAGGCTTTGTAGACCTCCGCACGTCCGGTAGGTGAATGAATGGAAACTCTTCATCATACCACCAGGCTCACAGGTGGATCAAGTAGGAGTATCGAACGCTATGTAAAACAGCTGCAAACAACCTTCTTGTTGAATATGATAATCACACCGTGAAACCTTATGGTCACTAATATGTATGATGTTGTCAAACTATGTAGACATGCTGCCTATACATGAGGTGGAACAAGGAAGGGCAACATAGTGTAAATGATATTAGGGATGATGAGATAATGAAGAGTGTTACATATCAAGAGCAAGAAAAGCCAGACCTCACTGCAGCGCACCCACATGAAGGGGAAGGTACCGTACCTCCTTTAACTGAACAACAATGTCAGTGTGCACCTTGCTTCTTTTGGGAACAAGTGGTGAATCACCTGTGATGTTGTCCCAATGAATGAAAGACTACAGCTTATTTCAAGACCTACCTGAGAGTTGTTGAGCTTTGGTTGTGGACTCATTTACAGCTGATTTCTGTCACTCTGTCACCAAGTATTGAATGGATACCTGCCAGCTATATTTGGGCTAGAACAGAGGACTATTATAATCATGAAGAGAAAACAGTTTAAAAAGGTTCTTTACAATGTGATAATTCTTCAAGAGGTGTATAGAAAAAATGCTGAAGATTTCCAGCTTTGCTAACAAGAAGTGTTTGGGCCTGAGAATTTGAATTGTGTTAAAAGTAATGGAAATTTTCTACACATTGTAAATAGCCCAGTTCATGTGAATGCTTGTTAAATTCAAAAGTTATATAATGTGCAACTTTGATGAAAATTCACAACTGGGCTGAGAAACAAGGGGAAGAGTGACCAGAAAGGAAAACTTTGAGACTAAAGGCACAAAGGAGCAAGAATTTAGAAGTGCCCTCTTGAGATATGCTAGCTTGTGTGGCAGACACACATCCACACTACAAGAGGCTGAACCTATTAGAGACAACAATGGGTAGTTACTCTACCCATGATGGGTAAAGTAACAATATTGTAATATAATGGTTTTTGGCCATTATTGTTATCAATACTGCTAATGTTGGTGTGATTCTCAATACTGCTACAGGAGCAAACTGTTTTTCAAGCAACATTACAATATCTGAACACAGAGCTGCAGATATGGAGTGAGATAACACACAATAAAAGACCAATTTAGGGCTGTTTTGGCCTTTTATTGCTTGATATTGTATTTTCCATTAACCAGTAACAGCTTCCAAAAAATAGGACTGTTATGTGAAGCTTGAGACACATGACTTCTATCTATGATGGCAGGTAGCTACTTTACAAAAATTAGTCAGGTATTGTCAAGTAAAGAAACTACCCACCACTGGTAGAGAACTCAGGGATCATACACAGAAGATCAGTTGATTTTTCATTTCTTATCTATGAGCCTTGTCTATTTAGCTATTACAATACAGAGAGACAAGTTGTGGGTAGAGATTGTTCATTTGGACCTGGGTACCTGTTCACTTTTTCAAGAAAATAGATACCATGTACCACACCAGGCACCTCCCAAGGGGTACTGGCAGCAACACAGGGAGGTTACGCTACCAGTAACGGAAGCGTAATGATAACACAACAAAACCAGGGCCATTAGCGTTACAATAATTGAAAAGGCCTTTCTGTTACGTTTTATTTTTTAATTTTCTTATTATTTTTTGTCATTACGTTATCCACAGCGCAAAAAGGTGGATAAAAAATGAATAACTAGGTCAATAACACAGATAACTTGTTGTTTGCATTATTTTCCTGAGTAACAAGGGGGGAAATCCCCTTTGTTACGTTACTCGTGACCCAAAAACACAGTTTGTCTGGATAACACTAACAGTGTAATCTGGACAGCTGGGAAGTTACGTTACACAAATCCCTTTGGATATCGTAACATATGTAACTTCCCAGTGTTGCCGGCAGTACTTGTGGCAGGTACCGCAGGCACCTCCCCTCTCTTTTTCACTTAGTTCCACTGGCTATCTCAACATTACTTCATATCCTGTACTAGATCTGTGGTAAAATGAAACTGGATGTGATTTTTTTTTACTTCTTCACACTATTTTAACAAAAAAAGGAAAAAATATTGCATATCCAGTACTGGATATGAAGCACTGTTGAAAGTGTATAGTCAATTTTTTCAATTTTTTTCATATTTATTATAAAATATGAGGCCCTCCCACCCACCCTATGTTATGGAAGTGGGGAGGTACCCTGGGGTACCTCCTGTTTTTTTTCCAAAAACAGACACCTGGCACTGCACCTGGCACCTCCTGGCGGGTGTGGGGCGCATGCAAGGGGCACCCCCAAGGGGTACCAGGTAACTGCAAAAAGTCCCGCATAACAATCTCTAGTTGTGGGACAGAAGAAAAAATGAATATTCAACCTGGGAGGAAGAAACATGTGACAGTGTTAGAATTTTAAATAGTGATCTTGCTTAAAAATTGGGTCTATCTTTTTGCACACCAAATAATTCCCCTGAAAACACCAAAAAAAAGGTTTGCACTACAAGGATTCCTGGATTGCACTACCATGGAATCCAGAGCTTCTTGGATTTCACACAAAAATGATAAAAACTTGATGCTTTTGAAGTACAGTCTCCTCCCAGATGTTTATAGCCATCTGTTTTGAGCTCCACACTGGGAACCCAAAACCTTCAAGTCAAAAGAGTTTGTGGAATGGTTCAAAATGGGTCCCAAAGAATGAATATGAATAATAATAATAAAAAACAAGACTAAAAAATTCAAGAAAAAGATAAAAGAAAATCAACTTTTTTTGAAAACTTTAATTTTTTGTTTGAGTGAAAAGTGAATACACATAAGGCAAGTTTAGAACATGAAAGGAATTATCATAAATGAAAAATATTGATCCAAAAAAAAGTTTGAGCATGGTGGGTGGACACCCTGCAGTCAAAATTAGTAGATTGGGGTGCCAGATTGCCACATGTCTTGATGAATGACCCCCTAGGCACCCTTTTTAAACCACCAAGTAGTCATTTTTTCAAAATTTTCACTTCTTATCATTCGTTCCAGATCTCATACTATCACTTCTGATATCTCATCTTTTCCTGAAAGAAATATGAGAGCTGTCAGTTTTTGTGATTTTCTCATTTTTTTCTTTTTACAAATTTTATAATCTTGTTTTTTATAATTATTTTTTCATATTCATTCTTTGAGACCCCTTTTCCACCATTCCACAAACCCTTGTGACTTGAAGCTCTTGGGGTCCCAGTGTGGATCTCAAAACAGATGGCTATAAACATCTGGGAGGAGACTGTACATGGCTGTGCACTGAAAAGAATCTGGAGTCTAAAGCTTCACAATCCAGTAAATCTTGGAGTGCATTTTCAGTCTATCTGATTCCCAGTTATATATAGGCGTGCAAATACTGTTCACTCCAAATTATTTGGAGTATGCAGAGCTTCACTTCAAAAATTAGGAGTGTGTTCTTGGACCCCAAATTTTATTTACTTTTTGGAATCCACAATGGCCCAGTTAAAGACAGTCAGCCTTCTCTGTATGTAACTCCACCAGCTCTTAGCAGCTTCAGAATTCCATTCAGTTGTTGAAATGGGGGGAGGGATGGGCTTGACCCCATCTACTTCCTCCATGGAAACCAAAACCCAGTGAGTATGGTTCACCTGGAGAAGGTAAATAGGCTTTCTGTATTTGGAGTTCTTGGGGCCAAGCCCTAAAATGTGTGGCTATGTACTCCAGCAAAGTAATTGGAGTGGCCACTAGTGCACTCAACAGAGCACCGATTCAAAGTGGAGGTTGTATTGCATTGGCTATGAGTCCAAATATCCTAGTGTACACCAGAGGGTCTTTCAGCTGTTTTGGAGTGCACATTCATGCACACCTTTTTTGGTGTGCAGAAAGGCAGAACTGAAAAACTTGGCACACTCTCTGCTCATACCAAACTTATGAAAAAGCTTGATAGACATGATTCCTCAACATTGAAAAAATGTCATAAACTTGGCCTAAAGGAACAGGGCTGATAATAAATATGTAGATTTGTCAAATTCCTAGAACAAAATTGTTTGCATTTATCACAAGCAACATGTTGCAGATTCTTGTGAGATCCAATGAGTTTTTGGGTGACCTGATCAGCTGTCACATTGTATTTCAGGCAAAAATAGTCTCCCATCATATTGCCTCCAAATGGGGACTGAATCATGTTTTTAGTAAGACATCTTATTGGTGGTTTGTTTTGCTTTACAGGACTTCCTGTGAAGATCTGTGGGTCCCCGAGAGCCAATGAGCCTTTCCTCCAGTACAAGCATTGGTAATGGTAACCTGAACTGTTATCCATTGCCTGTTACCTCTTATTTCATTATTCCCAACCTTGACTAGACATCTGCGTCTTGGATTGCCCTGGCTCATTCCTGCAGGAAGCTTGAGTGAGTCTCAGGAGCTTTTGACCTGAGCCTTGATAGGAAAAAATAAGGCCCCGTTTGGCCGTCCGTAATCTGTAATTTTGAGTCAAGATTTGGCAGGAGTTTGTAGGAAAGTTTCATATTGTTTTATATCACACAGTCCCAATCTGTGCCAAACCTTAGCCAAATCACAAACCATGATTTGCGGCCAAACGGGGCCTAATTATCTTTCAACCTGAATATTAGTCTATGGCTATAACAATACAAATTCCTACCTCCGTAAGTAGTATAAGCCTGACACCCTTGTTGAAATGGTGCTCATGTGATCTGGTTGTGGTTTTGATTAGAGTGTTAATTTAGAACTGAGAGGGGTCTGAAAAAACATTCTAAATTACAATGGGAAGTCCTCCACTTCCAGTCAAAATCTGCAGGTCTCCCAGAATTGATTTACAGCCTTGAAAGATAGATTTCCCTGTGAAAACCTACCTTGAGTTGCATGGAACTCACCACCTGCAAGGGTCTCAGATCCAACAGAAAGTGCCCCAATAGTAAAACAGAACTCCCTACATGATGAAATTTGCCATCTTCCTACAAACAAACCAGTTGATATGGATCCTGCTAGTGCTTTTGACTGATTGATTTGTGACTTGTGTGCCTCCACACCATGAGAAAATCAGAGGACCCACGACTCGACTCTGGCTAGCGATGGAGCAAATTGAACAAAGAGAAGGGGAAAAACACGAGGAAAGGAAAAGTTCCACACGCAAGCTTACAAATGTCACTAAATTTAAAACAGTACGTAACTTTGCGACCTCGTGGGGGTGTACGAGCTGGTACTGAATATTCACGCCGAAGGGGGCTCCCTGCATGCATACTGAAATTTTGAACCAGACAGCCTCCTCCTCCCCACACTCTCCACAACCAGCGCTAAACAAAAACCGCCTCCGAAAGCACCGTGCTACTTCCATACCTTCGATCTTTGAACTACTAGAAACACGATGATTCGGGCCCCGTTTGGGCAAAGCTGGGTGGCCCGCTTCAATGGATACCATCCAACTCGCGGAATGCTGAAGGTGGGCCAGAATATCATGTGTAGAGTCAAAAAAAAAAAAAAGAAAGAACTAAGCACTACCCACACGTTGAGGGAAGAAGAAGAAGCCAACGAGCTGATCTGATATTCACTCCTTTTCCTAATAGCGACCATCAACCAAATACCAATCACCACCAACCGTAAATCTTCCTGACCGGACATGGCCAAGCAAGACAATAACCCAAATCCCACGTTGGTGCGCCGTGGATCTTCGAGATGGAAACCAATCTCTGGTCAACCCAATGACAGTCGAACAAAAGACCAAATTCTTCAACCTCTTGCTCAAGTGCGGCTTCAAGGAAATCGAGGTCGGCTTCCCTGCGGCCAGTGATACCGATTTCGACTTTGTCAGGAAAATCGCAAAGAGTCGTCAACCTAACTTGGATGATGTAGCAATTCAGGTCAGTGTTGATATATACATATGCATGTTCCTAGGAATCGGTCGGCTCAATCTTGATTGTTGATTTTTTCCACAACAAAACATCCAGGTTCTTTCACCAGCTCGAGAAGATTTAATCAGGAGAACGTTTGACGCGGTTCAGGATGGCAAGAACGTGATTATCCACATGTACAATGCCACCTCGCCCTTATTCCGGCAAACAGTCTTCCAAGCATCCAAGGCCAAAACAATCGACCTTGCCGTCCGACACGCTGAACTAGTCAGGCAACTCTCCGATGATGCGATCTCCAGGGGCGACCGCACCGAATGGCAATTCCAATATTCTCCCGAAACCTTCTCACAAACCGAACCTGAATTCGCTGTCGAAATCTGCGAGGCGGTCAAGAAGGCCTGGTTCCATGGCAAGGATATGAAGAAAAGTCATCCGATCATTTTCAACTTGCCGGCTACAGTCGAGGTATCCACCCCAAATGTGTATGCCGACCAGGTAGATAGCTCTCACGCTTATCATTATCATCCTCACGGGCGTATCCCAAATCCTTAACTAACTGTCCATTTTTTTCATAGATCGAATATTTCTGCCGAAACATCTCAGATCGAGAACATTGTCGGATCAGTCTCCACACTCACAATGATCGGGGCACTGGTGTTGCCGCAACTGAGCTTGGGTTGATGGCTGGTGCGGACCGGGTCGAAGGCTGTTTATTCGGAAACGGAGAGAGAACTGGAAACGTTGATCTAGTCACAGTAGCCTTGAACATGTACTCTCATGGTCTCGCGCCCAATCTGGACTTTAGTGACATCAAAGAAGTGATCGACATTGTCACCGAATGCAACGATATCCCAGTCCACCCACGTCATCCATACTCTGGAGATCTGGTCTTTACCGCATTCAGTGGCTCGCATCAAGACGCCATCAAGAAAGGTTTTGCGATTCAAAATGCCAATTCGCATTGGGAAATGCCTTACCTATCTATCGACCCACACGATATCGGTTGCGACTACGAGGCAGTTATTCGTGTCAACTCGCAATCAGGAAAGGGTGGGGTGGCTTATCTCATCCAAGAACACCTGGGGTTGGATATGCCCAGGAGAATGCAAGTAGCATTCTACGGGATCGTCCAAAACTTGGCCGATCGAACTGGACGAGAGATGACGGTGGACGACCTCACGAAATGTTTCCGAACAGCCTACCATCTCGGTCTTGGGCACGAGGGCCGTTTCAAACTCCAGGATTATTCGATCGCCAACATGACTCAGCCCGATGGAATGGCTCAAATCGATCCTACCACTGGCGAGCCGCTGCCGCCCCGCAAGGTACTCAAAGCAACTATCTTGAAAGATAAGAAGAAGGTCGAACTGTCGGGTGAAGGAAATGGACCAGTCAGTGCGATGATGAACGCCATGAGAACCCATTGTGGCTTGATGCTTGATGTAGTGAGTTATTCGGAGAAGGCCATCGGATCGGGTAGTGAAACCAAGGCCGCTTCCTACATTGAATTGAAGGATGAAAGAGGCCGACACGTGTGGGGAGTTGGGGTTGACGAAGAGTAAGTGCTGTTCATACATATCGCGCTCTAGAAAATTGGAAAAATTCTATATCTGATATGTTGATCTTATCTTCTTGACTGTTAATCTAGTGTTACGACTTCTCTTCTCAAAGCGGTCATCAGTGCTGCCAACACTGCTTCAACTTCAGCACAACAGCAATCTGACGAGATCTTTGCCACAGTAGTGGGCGCCAAGCCTGCATGAAAAAGTTTTTTCGCACTCATCCCATTCTCTGTGTATCTCAATAATCTGCATCTCTATATTTCCAAATCCTTCTTTTTAACGATCCGTCTTACTACGAAAAATCAATTTCCTTCTTCTTTGGAACACATAAATTGGGAAGGTCCTGTAACCTCACCCGCATGTTGGTCGTTATCCTCAAAATCAACTGTCTTTCTAATTCCTATTTGAAAAAAAAAAAAAAAAGCTCTTTGCATAGTGTGACTATCGATCTCTTTCTCTTGTTCTCTAACCAAGATATCAATCTATCCCATCGTGGACATTCGTGGAACCCAGTCAAAGTGAAAGATTAATTCAATCTACACCCCTCATCCCGGAATGGGTCTATATGTAGATGTAGGCAGACAAGCGAAATGAAAGGGAGTCTTTCTGAACATGTGATCACAGTTTAGGTGTAACCTGGCACACCCGCATCAATTTCGGACTCACAAGTTTCAATTTTTCTTGCTCCTTGTTCTTCATGATATTTCCCTGCACGACATGAGCACCTATGTACTCTTTTCCTCTTGATGATTTTTTCCCGTCTCACAATCGTGCGGGCCCCAGGTTCTGGTTTCAAGAACTTCAGACTGAGACATGAGACGAGATCAGCCTGTTTGATCGTTTCACTGGCAGTCCTGACTCACCTTGAGAACTTGCATCTGCTGGAATTGCTTTTGGCAGACAAGACGGGTCATTTCAGGACGTTTCCAAGCTGCATACATACGTGGTAGTTTTGCTTCTTCTACCTTTATTCGTATCACTGACTGCAGCCGGAAATTCAGTGCTATCAAGCCCGAAAATGCGGTTTCCTTACGGCAGCAGTGATTGCGTGCATCGTCACCCAATCTGTCTCATCTTCTGGTCCTTGACGGTCATTTCGGCTACCAATCTCAACGACCTGGAGCTCAATAGGTTGGATCAAAGGGCGTTCGACAGACCAGGGCCAGCAGGTCGGCAGGTATTCGCCAGCTCGCCTGAACACCCCATTTACACCTGGGCTTCGATGCCATACGAGTCGAATGTGGTATCGGAGGAAAGACATTCCCTGCTATCGGCCCCGCTCACCGACCGGAATGTAGACAAGAGGCCCTTTGCCCCTCCCTCTGCTCAAGAACCGTCCCTGATCGCTTTTGAGCCTCTGGCTGATGGGCAAGCAGGCTCGAGAAAACGCATGAAGCATAGTCAGGAACAGCAGGCTTCAACCCGAAGAACGCCCATTTATTATGACTTCATGCCTGGCGCTTCACATGCTCACGAAGACAGTGACCAAGCGGAGCAACCCTCCACACCAAGAACGCCCATCTATTATGAACTTATGCCTGGCTCGTCGCATGCTCAAGAAGGGAGCTATCATACAGGTAAGAAACTGATCTTCTTCAGCGAGTAATCATCATCAAGTCATCTCACGCAAAGCCTCTGATTTGGAAAGGCCCCAGTCATTTAAGTCTCGAGGGGCAAGTCAATCAGGTCGACATTCAAACGCCGATTCAAAGACTTCCTCACGACCCGAATGACCCACTGGCAGGTCATCTCTCGCAAGTTGCCCAAGCCGCTGAAGGACCATCGGGTTCCATTCAGACCATGCCACCCGAAATCCGAATTTTGGAATCAGTGGAAGCCAATCACATTCCGGCACCAAAGCCAGCTCTTCCACAATCTAACTCGATCGGATTAAACGGAAAGATCTTGGTCCCAATTCTCAGCGAATACTACCAAAGCTTCTCACAGAAACTTGAGGAGATTTGGAATGAGTTTAATGGCTGGAAGGTCCCATGGCAAAACGAGCATCGAAAACTGCCGATCGGATTTTTTAATCGGCCCAATACGAAAGATTCGCGGATCATCAGAATCCTAGAGTATCCCCATCGAAACACCCAGAAGGCGACAGTGATCAGATCGCTTTACAAGAACTTGCTTTCCAGGATACATGAGTTACACTTAGCCGGCTCGAGTGTTCCTTCTGAGCACTTCTTTCATGTCCGGAATATCTTCGATCGACTCGAGAAAGAAATCTTGAACCCGGGGAACGGAGTGCCATTGACGGGTATCAGCGAGGCCACTGCGGATGGCTGGAAAAAACACTTTTCTCAAACTGAATTCGGAGAGATACAGGAAATGTTAATCGGATACTTCTCGGGAAAACAGAAGGGCATCCAGTCTGATCTGGCGGCTGAGTTGATAAAATCGTACTATACAGATTTGGAAAGTCAGTGTTCTTGAGAGACAAATTTGTTGGATCAAAAGATAAACCCACAACCTCCTGACTCAGCAAACCTTTTCTTTTTTGTTTGTTTGTAAAATTATGGATTCAAAACTTTGTTGCTAATTATTCCGATTGGAAACCACTCATAATTATTCTGATGATTTCCAGATGATCGACGAGCCTTAATTAGCCATCACGAAAAACTGAGCAAAGTGTTGGACGCATCAAAAGAGATTCCCATGGAGCCATACTTCGGGGACCGGTTCAAGTTCATTTTCAACTTACCAGACGGCCATCGACGCTTCAAGGAGTTTCTCGAATATGGGGGGAGATTATCGATTCCAGGGCATTCGACTCTGGACGTATTACAAACCGCATTTTCAGAATTTTTGCAAGAATTTCGACAGACACAAGACACGCTCCACCGGGCCACCGAAAGAACCGACCATGCAGGACTGGAGATCTGTTTGTTAACTTACACCAAGCTCGACAACATGCGCACCATGAGGGTTTTGGATCCTGCAAAGAAACATCCATATTCCATCGAAGGCTTCAAGCCGATCTACAATCACTTGATCAGGGCCGTCGAGTTCCTGCACGTGGCGATTCTTAACCAGTTTCAACTATCGAAGGAGGAGCACGAACAGAGAAGGCTGGCTCTGTTGTCTTGGGTTGGAGATCAGATTATGAAGCCGAAAGATACTTACCCGATATTCGGCAGGATCCAAGGGAGCCTGAATTCGCCCAATCTGAAGGCCAAAATGCAATCTGGGGAGAAATTGTTCCCACCCATTCAGTTATCCCTGATCAAATACTTCTCCGGCTCGAGAACTACTTCTTATCCTCTAGCCAGATATACTGCAGCATTCATCCTAGCAACGTGGTATGAGTTCCATCATCCAAAGGAGTTTGAGAACTTCTTCTTTGATCGGTTTAATCCTTGTGAAACTTTAGGTCAGGCAGAGGTACTAAAGAAAAGATATAAAAACCCTCTCTACTATGAAGAAAGCTGAATTGGAGATTTTATCGTCACACTTACCATTTCATCATGCAAATTATGTATCCACACATATTAAAGCCCTTCTCTTGTTTTCTTACATGAGATTAGCTATCCCACATGCATTGCAATTCTATACTTTTTTTTTTTTTTTTTTTTTTTTTTTTTGGATTGATCTGTTACCTTTGTTTTGTTTTGTCAGGAAAATCAGCCAAGTTTGAAATCCCTTGGATTTTTACTCATGACTGTAACTTCACATGAAGCACATAATATTTATGTAAATAAATCTTTGATAATTGGTGATATTTTGAAAATCACTTTTTTCAAGGTGGAAGTAATTCAGATTTTTCTTACCTAAAAGCCATCTTCTTACAAAAAACAAAAGTCTTTTTAGGTAAGTTATTTTGTTTCTTGGATGGAGGGATGGTTGATGAGAATAAAATGATGTTATAATAATAATGTTTCACAATAAACAGCCATGTTCTTAACAGGATGTTAATTTTAAGTTAGTATTATTTCCCCTAATTTTGACTCATCATCACAAATAGCAGTAGAATGTAACAGTTTGTGGCAGTGTCTCTAATATCAGTTGTGAAATTGTATTTTGGCCCTTGGGGTATGTGGGAGTTTATATGTAGCTGACAGTTTGTAGCCACAGTCTGATGTCAGACTTGAATAATTCCTACTTTGTTCAACATTTGGGTTTTCTTTTAGGTAAAAAACAATGCTTTTTGTATCATTTCACTTTCCATTTATTTGTGTAGAAGTATTTGCTCCCATTTTTTAGAGCTTTCTACAGTCACCTCCCTCTTAACCCATACCCCTCGGTGGACTCATTTTACTATGGGTTAAGAGAGTCATGGGTGAAGAGTAAAAGTCTCTATTATCCCATAATATCATGGGTTAATGATGTGTCCCTATTTACCCATGAATGGCATGGGATAATGGATGTAAAGACTCCCTTAACCCATAGTTTGCATGAGTTAAGAGGGACTTTTGCACTTTTTTTAGCAGACTAATGGGTTGGTTGCATTTTGACATAAGTAAAGTGGTTTATGAATGAATCAGACATAATGGTGATAGGAGGAAACAAGTATAAAGATAGAAAAAGAAAAAGGAAGAAATCATTTTGAGTTCATGGGATGAAAAAATGATGTGATGCTTGTTTGTTGAGCAGTAGCAATCAGGTGGTCAACAAGTTGTTTAGAGTATGCTTCCATCAACTGGTTCAGTTTATGAGCAACTTCAGTGGTGTTGTTCTCAATGTAGTGATTGCCTTGAAGACCTCCTTAGCAGTTGGTTTGGGACGCGGAGGTGGTTCACTAGATTCATTGTTATCCTGGTCTTCTTCTGTGTTTTGTAAGGATGAAAAGCGTAATCAGGTGGAAAATTATCAAAAGAATACATGAAAGGGCAGATGGTTCCTCAGGGATCAAAGCTGTCAACTCTTTTCAGCACAAAGCAAAATGATTGATGTGATAGAACAACTGGTGGGTAAAAAAATTAAATGAGTTCAATTTGCAAAAATTGATGTTTATGTTGAATGAAAAAGCTAAAAAAAGTTCCAGGAAAAAGTACCTCTTAACCCATAAACATTCAATTTTTTTTCTCAAGAATGGTATGGGTTACAGCGCTAGAGAGACTTATGGGATAAGCGCTGATTTCCCCGCCCACCAAATCCATGGACTGGATTTGCCATGGGTTAATCAAATTATGGGTTAATGGCTATATGGGTTAAGAAGGAGGTGACTGTAATTGCTAGCTTTTGGGAACTGTTGCCTGAGTTGGGAGCCTGTCTCAATTTCACATTGTCATTGATGTTACAACTTAAAAGCTGCATGAGAATTTGAAATAAGTGTGAATCAAAGTTTGATTGGAACATTAGAAAGTCTTCATGTCCCTGAGGCTGAACTAAGCTCTGTCTCCTGGCCCAAAGTGCCAGTTTTCATGCATGCTTTTCAAATATTTTGGCTACTTATTTTTACCATTGCATGCTACGTATCTATCAATCATTTGCAGAATGAGAAAATGGAGTATCGTGATTAATGGATATACGGAAAATGAAAAAAATGGACGACATTATCAAGGTTTGAGCTTGAGATACAGAGAGGATGAAAGCAGGCGCGTAAAAAACTGGTACAAAACGAGGCGACAACAACGGGGCCTTTATACGATTGTCCTCTACAAAGTACCAATCGAAGGAAGCTTAAACGATGAGAGCAACAGGAAAACAAGAAAGGCAGACAGTTGGATAAGAAAGAAGAAATAAAAAATATCAAAAAGAGTCACAGATTGGTGCAAGGAAAAAAAAGGACAAGATTGATAGTATGTTTCTTTTGAAAATTTTCAGGTGAGTGAGGATTTATCGTGGTGGATGTGTATGGAAGAAAACTATATGAAGAAAAATCAATTGTGACATTGACAAATCTTTAGGACGACGGTGTGTAGACAATAGAGTAAGTTTATATGTCTTCAAATATCATGCATTAGTGAGTATTATGTCTTCGAATGTCATGCATCAGTTAGTATTTACGACCAGAATCTTTTGGAATTTCGGATAGCCTTCGCCTCATCCTCAAAGATTAAAGGTCTCGGTCCCTGCTTCTGAGAATGGTCCCCATCTTCATCCAGCCAACGAGGAGGTTGAAAAGAGCGATCAGAGCGTCCAGCAAGGTTGGTGTCGAGCGGCATGAGTTCGTTGTCTTCGCGAATCGGCTGGAAGCCTCCCATTCGATCGTGGTGTCGGGAGGATATCCTGCTAGTGGGACGGTTGTCGACTGGATTGGTATGGGACCTGGGATGCTGAGGACGATTTACAGGACGAGAGCCAGATTCAGAGGCCGACCCGTGCGATCCCATCTTGTGCATCATCGTGGGCACAGAAAGACTTTTCGACATCAGGGTCTCGGTGGGGCTTGACGATCCGCTATGACCTGCGACTTTGCTCATGGATGCCGGATTGTAAGACGTGCGGCGACTAGCCAGTTGGGCCAAGGGCACGTCTTCATCATCGTCTTCGACCTTGCCAACAACCGGGTTGTGGGTTTCTTTCTTCTGCTTTTTGGAAGACAAAAAGCTTTTCGGCTTGGCCGATGGTTCCTCATTCGATGCGGCGGCTGATTTCGTAGAGTCCTTGAAGGAAAAGAATCCAAACATACTTCGGCGGTTCGAAGTGCCAGCGTTTCCCTTTTCAGATTGCTTGGACGACTGCTCAGTGCGGGCAGATTTCGACGATGCATCAGAGGAACTCCCGGGAGGCTTAGGTTGCGGTACTGTTCGTGGAGGGGGATTGGCGCTTTGACGACGAGAAGGCGCTTGAGGTGCAGCAACGGCGGGCGAAGTACTGTGGGCTTGAAGCTTTTGCATTGCCGCCTTGTGACGCTGTTGTCGCTCCAAGTTTTGAGATTGAGCATCTGCTGGAGTTTTGGCAGCCGAAGATTTGGCCACCTGCTGGTTGCTGTGGGACTGGAGCTTCTGCAATGCAGCCTTGTGGCGGTTCTCTAGCTCGGCAATCGACATGGAGCGTACTGGTTCCGTATTTACAGGTACTGGTCGGGAGCTGGGGGGTAACGCAGATTGAAGGATACCAGTAACAACGCGTCTCGAATCTGGTTGAAGCGAGTTGGGACGACTGCCCTGAGGGGTGTCACGAACTGCCTGAATCAAATTGGCTGGCTCGTTACTTCGCCTCGTTGGAAAATCCAAGTGACGGGATTGTCTGTTGGAAAATTGTCCAGATTGGCCAGACGATATGGTGGCATAAGGCTGCTGAAGTGTTTCACGCCTCGGATCACGAGTAGTGAATGTTTGAAATGAGGGCTGGGTCTGAAGTAGTTGCATGGATTGACGGTTAGCCGCGTGACTGCGACTGGCTTGGCCTTGCGAAGGCGGCGGAAGGGGTGAGTGGTAGCGGGGTGGGTGGACAAGCATGTTAAGATTGAGAGGAGTAGAGGAGAAGCCGGTCTTGGTGTTCGCCGACTTGGCTGCTGCCGGATGATTGGCAAGGTCAAGCGGCGTATGGGGCGAAAAGTCACTGAGTCTATGAGGATGGCCGGAGGACGGAAGGAGGGAAGAGCGGTACGGATTTGCAGAAGATGACCGCGCGGCCGGGGGTCGGGCTTGAAGATGGGCTGACTGGTCATCTTGTAGCTGGGAGCTTGATGAAGGTAATGAACGACCAGACTCGTTGGAGGACGGAGTGTTGCTTGAGCTTGCGATACGTGAGGCCATCGCAACAGTTAATGAATGTCCCTTGTTCGTTTTGGAAACTTAAGGGTTGAGATTCATTCCGTTGATACAATTATTGTCAGCTATAATGAACTCTGGTGGGGGCAACGGCAACGAGACACTTGATTATAATAATAAGCAGAGAATAGAAGCGGGCTGGTACCCACTTGACTTGAATCGAAGGAAGTTGGTTTCCGGCGTCAATATGTCCTAGTCGAGAATTTGGCACTCACGGTTGCTAGGCCAGATTAACTCGGTCGAATGGATATCCTAAGAGATGTCAGGTAAGGAAAAGGTAGTACCACTTCAGATCAGCAGCTGAAGACCAGTGTGGCCGGGCTGGCTAATGAAACTTTAATAGTCAACATACCCAAGGATTAGATTCTTTGTGACTTGATTACAGGAAATGAAGGCAAACTGCTAGAAACATGGAAACAAAAGAATATCAGACATGGGCGTGAAGGGATGGTCGGACTTTGTGGCTCAACACAGCTTCAAGCTTGGCTATCTCAAGATGCGCTAGCAGCTCTCGGGTCTCAAAGGCCAGTATATAAATGTGTATACGTATAAATATACATACACCTGTGATCACCAATGCTGCTCTATAGATCCAAGAGCGCAACGCGAGGGGGGCCCCAACACGGCTATTTGCTATATATTCGAGTTCCGACTTATCTAACATCGCAAGGAACGATGATTTGTGTTGCGCTGGGTATGAAATGATGTGGGCAACAGCTCGGACAACGGCATATATCCCAAGACAGACTGACCCCTCTCGCTGGCGATTGACAGTTCGACACACGAACGGGTTACAAATGTGTGAGAGTGGAGAACATCGCAGTTGTTGGGCATGTTATAAGCCTGCGTGTTTGGCCAAAGCTGAGAGCTGTGGTTGAGGAACTCCATTATAAATTCTGCAAAGAAAAAAAAAAAAAAGAAGAAGAAGAATGATACCGAATCTGAGAAGAGTGCGGGATATAAGGCCAGATCTGGCCAGATTCAATATCAACCTCGACCGGCTTGACATGATAATTGGTCAGTGGGCGGCTTGGCTCATTGAAAACATCCCATGACATCAATGTGCATCTTTGTCTGCTCGAGCTCTCTTTCTGGTCTGTAGGGAATTCAAACAATTCGGAGGGGGATGTATGTAGGATGAGGAGAAAACGTAAATCAGTGCGGAGGACTACTCACATTTGGCGGCGATCCGCAAGGACGAAGACTGGGTATTGGTGATGAATAGGCACAGGGCAGTGGTCAATCCCTGTCAGTGTCAATTCAGAATTCATCAATTTGCATTTTCTTCCTTTCAGATTCGGTTATGGTGGCATACCGCGGATTGGTAATGAGGCCTGATATAAATAGATAAAAAAATGTGTGACCCGATGTGTAAGCTATGATCAAAACAGCTTGTTTGATGGACCCCCGGGGAGGTAAGAAAAAGATCTGATCGAGATCAAGTCTGTCGAGCAGGGAAGGTTCCGAGAATGCGCGACACTGCAGGTCCGATTTGGAAGGCCTGACTGGCGATGTGCGGTTCTTAAGTTTGGGAAGCTGTTGGTTGAATAATGGTATTTATGAGGCGAGGAATATTAAGGATGCTTCAAGCAGAGGGTGGATGGAAGGAGGATAGGATGTACCGAAGAGGGATTCGGGAATAGAGGAAGTATTGAGAGCCAGGAAAACAACCCATGAGGGAGGATGAGGCATGCTTTATAGCCCATGGACATGGTAGAACACATGATTCTATGTAGAGCTTGCCCCGTGCAGGAGCTTGCGGCGAGAATTAGTGGAGGATGGGGCGCAACCTTCCTACGTAAGGAGGATTGGTACCAATACAGTACTTGAAAACGCTCGCTCGCTGGGGCCTCAGCAGCCTGGGTCGAGGTGATTATGGAGCCGGAGGTAGGGTATCTACAAAAGCTGTTGGAATCACTCATTCACTCCGGCGGGTGCCAAGGGAAGGGTTGGTACTAGCCAAGCTTTAAAAGTGCCCTATCGCGTCGAAGGTCTCATGTTGCTTTGGCTTGCACCACATCATCAGACTTGGATACGCAGATTTATTTTGTGGTTCCCTCCCCTTAATACGGCTTTAATGAGTCTCAGCTTTCGGGCAAGGGCTGCGATGGAAATCCGTCTGCCCGGGGAAATAGAATTCAGGATCCTAGGGGGTTTGTGCTCCCACCTGGCTCTTATCCAGCTGGGATGAGTTGGGTTGAAAGACTGAGGATGCAATAATCAATTATCGGGGAAATCATGAACAGGCTGGCAGATTCGCAAGACCACCTCTTTCGTACATAATTCTTGAGCAAAAAGAAGTCAGCAACCATGTCGATTGATGACATTTACATGGGCCTACTTCTAACTGCCCAGCAAAATCCGAAAGAGCCACTCAGCTTTCTCCGGTGGCAATCTACATCCATAACTTCTTCTGCGATGCCAGGAGTATACATTCTATGTGCATCCTAATAGCTTAGCAAAGCCTCTCCCGGGGCGTCCTCACGATGACGCTCTCCATAGGAGAGGCTGAGGAGTAAAGTTGAACGAAAACCCAGCTGAGACAGGGGAGATTTTCAAGCCTAAGGATCACTAGAAAATATTTGCAACCCCAACCAAAAGGGTGGTCAGGCTCATTTAATGTAGTGGCACATGATTTTGGCTCTTGCATCATCCTTTCAGGTTGAACTGAACAGGCACTTGAAGCTCCATTAATAGAAGAGCAGAATACATGCAAACAGTTTCTTACTAAACACAGAAAACAACAGAAGCTCAATCCTGAACATCACTTCAACAGACACAATTTCACACTTGCTCCACAAAGTTTTTATAATTTGGTTTGATTCCTTGGTGCATATCCCAATATTGTTCTGGATCCTGGATTTACAAGAACTCTTGTATAACTTGGTCTCAAACATTTTGAGGTCATTTCTCTTTTTTATTTTAAAAATAAATCATGTGCCTTGAACTATTGGAAGACTTCTTTATAGCCCCCAGTTTAGGTGGCCAAATCCTAGATTCTGGATTCAAATTAATGATGAGAATCAAGCAACATCAAGTTCTCAGCAGGAAACAATGTTGAGAATTTGGCTTGAGGAGAGCTAAATTAAGGATACAGGACCAATAGGAACAGTCAAATCTTGTCAAAATGAGCCTTGGCCAATTTATTGGAAAGCTTGAAAGCTTGATTGGGAAGGCCCCCTTTAGAAGCAGCATCACATGATTAATCTCACCTAACATTGTGCATCAGCAGAGAAAACATGTTACAAATTAGCATAGGTTTTGGTGAAACATGGTACTCCAAAGTGGAAAACTAGCTTTTGCTGGTACAATTTATTCTTGTTTGTGTTCCTGTGACATATGAACATCACTAAGAGAAAAATAACTAAATTGACTTGTGGCTTTTTCAAGTAATAGATCCATCTGTTGCTAGCCACTTGAACGTGTTTAAAAAAAGGATGATGTGTTCAAGTGGCTTGGGGTTCCTCACTGCCTTCAACTCATCTATCAAGCTTTTTCAACTGTTGAATGACTTAACTGTTCATTTTGAAATATGTAATGTCTTGTTGAAAATTATCAATTATAAATATGAGCACTAAGTAAACAAAGCCTTCAGCGGGTGTTTCTTCACAAATGTCATTGTGAAAAGTGTAATTGTCCATGTCATTTGTAAAACTAGTCAAAGTTGAAAAAAAAATACAAACAAGGTAGAAAAAAAATGAAACAATGCATAAAATATGGAAGGTAAATTAATAATTTGAAAATCTAATTGCTTCACTGTATAGTGTGTTTGAGACCTGCTCATATTAATTTTTTCTCTCAGATAAAACAGTTATCTTCAGCTTTTTTTCCAAAATTTTTAACATTGAGAGTCAAGGGGGGTGTTTCAAGCATCCCAAATGGAACCCTGGAGAAGAGAATCACGTGAAGGCGAATCATGTTGATAAGTATTAGATCTCTCAACAAGGGCTTGACAAGAGATGATAGGCAACTCACAAAAACGGGGATCCCACGGGCTCTTGATGTCCTCAGCACACTTTTATTCAAAGCAGGACTTCCGATAAACAGTGCGACTATAACAGATCAAGAAGGATAAAGTTTAGCCCTTTGCTTGTGCAAATTGGAGTCATTCATATGGAACGAGACATACCTTGAGCGTTCCATTGTTTGTAGACCTTTTCTAATTCGACGTTGACATCTGGTCTGCCAAGAGGGCCTTTAGTATCCCAAATCAAGAGGCGTTCGGGTTCAATCTTGCTCTTGATGAAGTTGATGAACTCGGAGCCATAAGTTTTCTCTAAATCGGCTCCAATCCAAATAAGAAACCAATCGCCGTGCTGAATACATGTTGATCCAACGGCACCGATACCAGATCCCGTACAAATTGCTACCCCTCTGTTGAAAAGTCTGGAGAAGTACGGTAACCCACATGGCTTTTTTAAACAAGAGAAAAAAAAAAAATTGGTATGAGAATGGTTAATCAAGTGGTACCGGACAAAACTCGAACATACCTTCCAGGTTTTGGTGTACAAAGTCTCTGGTTGATCTTTATTCATTGCACGAGTAAAACCACCTTGAACGGCCATGACGATGTAGTGGCAATCGGCGTGCTTCCCTTCGCTATTTTCCAAGAAGGCAACCAGAGGATTCAAAATCAGAAACGGATCATTGAAGGCGGAAGCTGGCTGGGTTTCTTTACTCACCTAATCGAACCAAAAATGTGCCATTCTTTCAGACCTCCACGAGAGACTCGAGTGTGAAGACCAGATGTCAATCCACCAGGAACTCTGATTACTGAAGCTTTTGAAGACGGCTTTTAGAATGACGGAAACGAAGGAAAAGTCAGTTGATCATCCCTAATCATCTGTAAAATCAATTCAACTCACCGCCGTTACTACGACCGGTACATGTCGTACAGTGATCCATTGGCCTATAATTCTGTTGGAGAAAAAACAAGTTAGTCTTTAGTGCTTAAGCAGGTCTAAAACGCTGCAGACTTACAGGGGTATGATGGCAATCATAAACCAGAACTCTTCTTGTCGTATCAAGTATCTGCTGGATGTTCTCCATGATTGGGTGTTGACGTCCCACCAGCTTGATACGATTACAAAGATTAAACTAGTGATGATTCCCAACCTGAGAGTAAAAAGGTTTCAACAAAGTGAATGAAGTACGGTCAATTTACCGAAATGGGAATAAACAAAAGAATTTTGACGCGAGGAGGTGAGAAATGCAGCTTACCATCCCAAGAATCGATGAGTAATCTCGAAGATACTGTGCGCAGAGGAAGAATGTAAAGATGTGGTAAGGATCAAGCTGAGTGTCAAGAGTAAAGATAAAAGTCAAGCGTACTTGTGGTGGATCGCTCTGACGAGGGGTGTTGCAACAAAGCAAGTTGCGACGACGACTATCATGGAAACAAATAATGAGGCCATGACCAGAGAGTGGTAAAGATCCTTGTTCATGATGTGATATGTCCAAGCCAAGAGTAGCCACATCATTGCACCGATGCCGCATCCACTGTGCAAACCACCTAAAGATGTAAATTAATTCAGTGCTGGGTCAGCTTGACGAACGGGAATCTTGACGTGCCCAAGAGTTATGAATTTTGGATATATATACTGACCAATGTGGTATAAGATGGCTACGACCAGCACTCTGACTTTCAAGGGAGTCCATCTTCTGAACAACTTGATTGAAACCCAATAGAGGAATCTCATTACCCATTCGGATCGAATGGCAATAGCCACCAACAAATTCCCGGTGACCAACGCAGGTAGATGAGTCCTAGCAAAGTGCCATCCACCCAGTAGAGTGATTATGACCATTATTGCTTCGACTGCCACGACCAGAAGTAGCATCTGTCGATAAGGGCTGAACCATGTCCAAAATTTGAGCGATTTGTTGAGGACAACCGGCCTGGGGTTGGAAGCTGCTGGCTTGGGTACCGGGATTGGTTGCTTTTCGTAGACCTGGAGAGCTGAAAGGTGTTTCTTCTCATTGATAGGGTAGTCTTTTCCTGGGAAACTTGGTCCGCCAATCAATGGCGATAGTGGGGCCGCGTAACTTTGTCGGGTGTCGAGCGGCGACAGCGGCACACGTTGATTGTGCTCTTGCACGGGATCTTGAGCGTACTTGCCTTCCATGGACTCTTGAGACACAGTTGACAATGTCTGTGTTGTATTCGGAGATTCTGGAGATTATCGTAAGACTGAGGATGTATTAAAGGAAATGCAAAGGACCAATAGAATTAAAAATTAAATAGTAGGTTGAAAACGAAAAAAAAAAAGAATAATTGCACAGGTCAATGAAGAACTGAGCACGTAAGAATAAGAATAAGAGAGGATGTTGGATTTGGGCAGATAAATAGATAGTCCAAGACCAGCATTTATAAGCAAATCGTTACAAAATCCCATCCGACTGAGATCAATACAAAACCTGGGCCGGCTATCCCCATGTCTAGGGCAAGGCGCTCGTTATGCACCGCGGGAGCGGTTCGGACCAACATCGGCCCCCATTCTGTGACCAGTGCCACGGCACAACCGTTCCATTTTCTGCACACAATTTGGCAGGCATCGGTCGGGGATATTCCTACGGGGCAGGGCCGGCAAACGGCCGGAGGGCACAAACATCTATCCGAAGCGTCATGGGCTCGGAGGTATCGGTGTAAAGATAGAGGCCCTAGGGGACCCCCGGGATTACGGGTTCGCCCGACTCAGTCAGGCCCCCGCGGAGGATCTTAATTTCCCGATTGGGGGTGAAGCTGGTCAGGAAAAAAAAAAAAAAAAAAAAATGCCATTTCCAACCAGGAGAACGATGGTTTGCTTGTTGTTGCCGATTCAGGATGACAGCAACTAACTCAAGCACCTCGTACCATCTGCCTCTCCTCTCAGCTCGAAGAACAAACTAGCCAGGATGCCACCTCGGACTCGTCTTAGAACGGCGACCTTGCAGCGAACCAAATCAGCACCAGCATCCTCTGTTCAAAAGCTACCCGCCAAAGATGCATCACCCATGAAAAGACCAGCGCCCTCACAAGGCACCTCACCCGAGAAATCGCCGAGCAAGAAGAAGCCGAAAACGATCGTCAAGCAGGCCCTCCTAATCCCTGTCCCGCCTCCTGCTAGATGGAAGGAAACATACGGATTGATCGAAGAACAAAGAAAGACATTCATCGCACCGGTGGACACGATGGGATGTGACAAAGCCGGAGATGTGGGTCCAGACTACCAACTCAAGAGTGCATCCGATTCGACGATCAGTCAAGACAAAATCGATCAATTGAAGCAAAGATCCGAACGAGACCGTCGATTGTCTTGCTTAGTTTCGTTGATGTTGAGCAGCCAAACCAAGGACGAAGTGACTGCTCAAGCGACCCTCAACTTGAGACTCCACCTGAAAGACTCCCTTACCGTCGATTCCTTACGTAACGCTAGCTTAACTGAGATCGAGAATTGTATCAATAAAGTTGGTTTCTGGAAGAAGAAAGCCCAGTATATCAAGTTAATGGCCGATGACCTCTTCTTGAAACATGAGAGTGACGTGCCCAAAACATTAGGTCAATAGCACTCATCCCACAGTACACGTTTCTTTTTTTTTGCCCCCACAAAACTGACCCTCTACTGTCTTAATACTTTTACATCATCAAATACACGAAAACAGACGAATTGGTTGCTCTCAAAGGTTTGTGAACATTTACCCAGATCAAGGTCCACTTGAGCTGACTTTCTTATGATATGAAGGCGTTGGACCGAAGATGGCATTCCTTGCACTCTCAAATGCATGGGCAATCAACTTGGGTATCGGCGTAGATACGCACGTCCATCGGATTTCGAATCGGCTTGGTTGGCTTCAAACCTCAGATCCTGAAGCTACTCGGATCAATTTAGAGAGCTGGTTACCTAGAGAGTCAGCCATCTCTCTTTTAATTTGGAATAAATACATCAATTTCATCAAATAATCTGACTCTTTTAATTTTGCTGTTCCTCAACAGTCTCTTTCAAGAAATCAATCATCTGCTGGTCGGTTTCGGTCAAGTGAGTAATCGGGGCTTTCATTTATTTTGAACAAAAACAATACATAGTTTGATTGACAACTCTTATGTTTTGGATTTGACCATGAATACAGGTTATATGTTTACCGGTCGGTCCGAAATGTGAGGATTGTTACGTGGGCAAAGTTCCAGGATTGTGTCCGTCCTCAAAGGTTGAAGCCAATCGACAAAAACTGAAGCTTCAATCGACAAAAAGAGCGAAATTCACCGCTTCTTCAACTCCAAGCCCGAAGAAGCCCTCAAGGGCTCACATCGCGATCAAATTAGAAGAAACAGATGCTGTTGATCATCCAGATCAAAAAACATCAAAACAGTCACCCAGATTGAGATCATCACGGTTCTTTCAGAATGGACATCACAGTGTCAAACAAGAAGGTCAAGATCCAGTGATCAAAGACGAAGATCAAGATCAAGGAGAAAAACCAGAAGTTGATAACAAACCGACTCGACCTAAGAGTGAAAACGGAAATCTCAGCCAAGAAATCAATAACAACTCCGAAAAACTCATTCACAGCCCTTTGGTCTCTTCCCCCCTCAGTGAAATTGACGACGATTCCAACCCCCTGCTTTGTTCTCCTAGCCCAGCCTTAGCTTGGTAGCTCATTTCACATCATCCATTCGCGTTTGTTCATATTTCTGTTGTTACTACTTCTCACCCAATCAGCATACATAAACATTGAACAGTTTTTTTGTTGAGAACAATCTGCAGGATTTGTATTGCTTATACTAGTATAATTCTTTCCCTCCCTCTCTGCGCACACGCAAAATGTATCAATGTAAGCTGTGAAGTTTCGGTTCCAACACATAGACCAATTAGGAAGTGCAGGAAAGATCGAACCCATTTTTTTCTTTTTCATCAGTGAAAAGTACTGCAAGGATTCCAGATTCTTTGTTAATGAAATCTCTTTCGCTCAGATAACCGCAATGTATTAATGATACGGTGTAAAGTTTTTTGATCGGTAGATCGATCAGCAAGTGTAGCAGCTAATGCTATCCAGCCAAATGATTCGGTTAACATGGTGAAATTCTTAGCCCATTCTCTTGCTGATGGACGAAACATCATCACTTGAACAATTCTGGACGGTTGTCAGACCCCCCAGTTCAACTTGGATCACGCTCCGAGTGAGCAGATGATGAGTAACAACCTTGAAAGATCGAGGCCTCCCTCGTACATAACAGATGGCAAGAACCCAATCTATATTTACCTTATCTTGTGTTAGTGCTCCGACTGCAAGGGCGGCCACCGGAGGCACGCAAGGGCTACGCATGTTAAGTTAAGGATTGAATTGAGATCATTCAACAGCGACAAATAATCCTCGCGTGGGATGGTAGAGTCTAACAATGTGATCAAGATAACTTTCTGTCAGAACTGCAGGTTTCCCAACCGGAAGCCCTCCGGAGGAGGCCTGCTCGGGTCTACTTCGAAGGCTCCTCCTTCGGTTAAGCAGGACCTTGGTGGAGTTTGACAAAATTCAAAAGCAGACTTGAACACAGCAGAACTGTGGATAGGTAGATCGTGGAACATAGCGGTATGACCAGGCTTGTCAAACCCAGAGGAGCATTTGGCTACCGATTTGCTGTATAGAATCTGAAAATGGAGCAAAGCTACATACTTATAACTGGCAATGAACTATTCCAAAAATAAAATAAATCAGACACAATTGGCCATTAAGAATTATGGGTTTCTTTTTTCAAGTTGGTGTATTTTAATTAAGTCTACTAGATAAACTGATCAAGAAATCAAAATCAAACAATCTAGATGAACGGCTTGATAGCGGCTTAAGGAGGAGGAGGGGAGGGGAGGGGAGAGCTGACAGAGATAATAGCAAGAACGAAGAAACAAGATTGACACTGAATGAACGAGCTATATGAAATAGAAAATCGGAATTGGTGTACTCATTTATACAGATTTCACAAAAAAAAAGAAAAGAGCTTAAATAATCCTTTTTTTTTGTCAAGAAAAATGTTTTTAAAGGAGTTCCGTTTCCGAGTAAGCAAGCCAGATTCCATTGCGAAAGATATAACCATAACAATCCTGGGGGTAACTCCAAAAAAAAAAAAGTAAGAGAAAGAAAGAAGGGGAAATGAAGGGAAATGGATGACTATATGTAGCTAAGTGTGTAAATATATAGTCAGAAAAAAGGATGAAGATGAAAATGAAGCCAACCAAAAAACACAGCTCCCAGTACGAATTGAATTGCAAAAGCAAACAGATCATTACAGCCAAAAATGGATTGGAACATTAAGGTTGCAAATCAAAAGGGATTTCTAACCGAGGACAATTAAGATTGTACACCAATGTCGAAGAAACTGAGGAATTGGTCTACATCGTTTTTTTTTGTTTGTTTGTTGGTTCCAAAGGTGGGGATGGAACGAGCATATTTGATCAAGACCACTGATTCGGAGCTGGATCAGGAATGTATCGGCCATCCCCATTCGGTGGAATGATAGGGTGATGTGATGGGAAGGACGGATTTCCATGAGGGTTGATGTATTCATGAGAGTAACCTCTCTGATAAGGGGGCAGGCTTCGATGCGAGGAATGCAATTGGACAGGATTCCCGACAACTTCATGTGAGCGAGGGCGACCATTGACTGAAGAATGCTGATGATGCTCGAGGTGATGATTTGACTCGGGATGGTAATGCTGAGAAACAGGATGAGCTGAATGCGGATGGCAATGATGGAGGACCTCGTTGGAATATCGCTCTGCCTGATGGCCGGAATGGGCAGCCCACATTTCTGAGTTATTCGGATGAGGGATCAGAGGCGTTGCTTGATAGGCTACCGAAGGACTGAACGGCGACAGATAATGGTCGTAACGTTCGAATTCTCCAGGAACGCCTTCGAACCTCGACCATTTCTTGTTTGTTGGCGTCAGAGAATGCTCTGCAGGATCGCAAGTCGACAGACTACTACCACGTTTTGGGATAGGTTTCGAACTCGATGGTGAACGTGGCTGCCGAGCTGGAGGCTGTCCAGGAAGGTCTCGGTTCACAAGTTCCCGTAGTAGGGCGCTACCTTTGAGAGGAGAGGAAGCTCCAAATTCAGGCTCAAATAATCCAGCAGTCACCGTACAGGTAAACTCCAATCTGGTTATATACTGTCTTAGTGTGGCTGGAGTGGGTGGCGACTTCTCTTGCATGGCTAGGACCCAGATAGCCACTCGGACGGGCTCGATAGGCCACGTTGGAATATTTTGAGAGGTGCAATATTCCGAGAAGCGGCTAAAAACGGCGAGGTATTGCTCTTGGATATGCTTCACTGGCGGTTTCCCGGTGGCCGCCCTGCCCGCGGCTGTGATTCGCTTGACCCGCTCTCGGCCCGCTCTTAAAAGCTCTAGTGCTTGGGTGGCCAGATGGTCTGTTTGAGGAATATCAACAATAGCATATACGTTAGTACAACCGAGGGCGATGAAGAAGAAAAAAAAAAGCCTTGCATGTATAAACTTACCCCCTGATCGATATTTTAGTGCTAGAATCACTTCATCTTTCCTTTGTAGTAGTTGAGAATATGAAACAATCGAGTTTAGGTCGATCAAGTTGGAAGGGGCTGACTGACAAGGTGACGAGGGTGATGAGGTAGGTGGGGGCGTGGGAGTTGATTTCTGGGATAGCGGGGGGGACTGTTGCTTAGTGACAGAAGGGCTGTTCATGTTGTTTTCTGAGCTATGGCTGAAGCAATTGGCTGTCTGTGGACTCCCCGAAGGGACCGAGAGATGCATATAAGACTGTTCGTAGAGGGGCACGTGTGAGGCATTCGATATCGGAAACTTGGTGTCTTCCTCACCGGTTTCATTGGTGCCTCTGGAGCTAGAGGGGTATTGCTGGTGCTGCAGAATGTGTTGTTGTGATGGGGGTAGATGGCCGGAGTCTGAGGGTTGGCTATTATGCACCGTCTGGGGTGGAAGAACGATCGACGATGACAGTTCCATGGCAGACTATTTTTAGAGCTCTCTGTATGTGACAATTATTATCCGGGTAGATCTGTATATCTCGAATTTTGTAATATTAAAAATTGATAAGAATGTTTCAGTAAGTAAGTATAATGAGCGTGTGTGTGTGTGTGGTTGGGTAAGAGTAAGAGTATTTGAAGAAGGAAGGAATGTGATGAAAGGAGAGAGAATATGTAGGGATTAATAATAATTAAAGATATCCCCTCATGTACAGGATGGCAGGTAGGATAGATACAGACCAAAAGCTAGACCCCACTCTCGGGGGTGAAGGAGTGTGAGGGGAAGGAGGATGGGCAGGGGATTATATAGTGGCAGTTGTTCTTCGATGTACGCGGAACAACTGGGCAGATTTTGGAGTGTCAGAGTAGGAGGCAGTTTAAAAAAACCGGTGGGCTTTAAGTAAGAAATTGTTCACATACATTCTTTTTGTCAGCTGCTGGGTCAGACTCAGCCAACTCGCTGGCACGTTATCACCCTTGTGTTCGGGCCGGAGGGCTAGAAAGCTGAGACTTGTTCGTCCGAATCTCTCGAAACGCTTATTGAGCACAGTCAAGCTCGACTCCGCTGAGGATTGGAGGGGCGAACACACAAAGTTCTTCTTCTTCTGGTCCACCAGGATTGATGGTCTGTTAGTTTGGGAAGTGTATGAAAGTCGAAAAACCAGAAATATAAGATATATCTAAAGAGAAGTTGTAGTGGTTGCAGGGATAGAAGGTGTGGAGGTGACAGGTTTTTTGGGATGAGGATGTAAAGAAGTATGATGTATTTTCACTATACTTGAATCTCCAGGACAGAGAGAAGTAGAGAGAGAGAGGAGGAAGGAAAGAGAGCAGTGCACGTTCGTAGAGGCTTCGGGTTAAAAGATTATGTATGTTGCAGAGCAGCAGCGGATTGAACACTGCCAATTGAAAGGAGGGAAAAGTTCTGGCTTCAACCAAACGCTCTGGTTGGCTTCGCCAAGGAGGGTGGTGAGGCTGAGGCGAATATACCCTTTGGGAGAAGCCCTACCAAAGCCGTCCTTCTCCTAAGCAACGGACCTGGTCCACCAATTTCTTTCCACCTCTCTCTCTCTCTCTCTCCCTCTCTCTCTCTTTCTCTCTCTCTCTCCGTTCAACGTGTAGAATGGCGGTGCTGTTGGGGATCGCGTGATGGGCGGCAACCAACTTGCTTGTCAAGAGAAGGGTTTGAGGTTGAGCCCTGCTCTCCACACACACGCTGACGCCCATAAAGAACGAAAACCCGGCAAGGCCTGTCCGAACCGCACCCAATTGCGCCCGAGACAGGTAGAAGTATCCATGGAACCACACACGTAGCCCCGTAGTTCATCCTGATCGAATTCAATTGTGGGCTCTTGTGGGCCTCAAGTGGTGTCTATTAAAGACTCCTGGAAGAAAGCGCAGAAGCTACGATTCGATCGGTTGAAACTCTTCCGCTAAGGAAAAAAAAAAAAAACTCAACACCGATGACAGCATGGCCGATTAGAACGTAACCATTCACTCAATTGACCCGCCTCCCACCACGCGGTCCTTTGGGGGATTTGTGGACGGCGCTCTATGCCGGCGTGCGCGGCTGGATCCTACCTTTTCAATAAATTAACGTGGCCTCCAATGATGTTGTTGTACACTTTTGATGCTGTTTTCTCTTTGAGCGATGTGGCTTTTAGGCATTCATCGCGTGGAAATTGAGTATGAATGTATTATATGGTGGCTTCCTTTCTTCCGCGACGTTCTGTGTATTGCATCGTAACACAGTGACCACACCACCTCAATACTTACGTAAGGACTACCGCATAAATTGTTTGTGATGACCCCGTTAGGGACTTTCTATCGGGGATTGCTGGCCTAGACTTTCTGCTTGCGTCTCATGAACGGGGGGTATGTCATTCAAGTCATCAGAGCATAGCCTAAGGCCGTCCCTCCCTTTTTTTCCGCTTGAAGTGTTTCACACCTTTGCTATCGTTGTACCTCAAGCTCTCAACTGTCCTGAGCCTCCGCTCCACAAATCTACACTGGCTCTCAAGTGACCAATTATCTCCTTCAGCAACTCATTTCGATGAAAGCCTGACAGCACTAACATTGTCGTCATAGCTTGTTTCACGCATCAAACTCCCTTTCTTGGTGAAAGTCATTTTGACGCCGATTTGGCAAGTCTGGATGGAACTATGCATGGGGGCCAGATCCGAGAGCAAAGCTGATAAGGACCTCCGGTGAGGTGTAGATAAGCAAGTCAAACCAAATCTCTCTCACGGGCTGCCTCAGCTACTTCGCTGAAGAAGCTGCTTCGGGAAGGTACCTTGTTCGCACAAACCTCACTAGCTTAGGGGCTTGTGAAGCTAAGAAACACCAGATGAAACCTCTCGGAGAGGCTAGAGAGCCAAGTATGAGAAATAGTATCAATGATCGCGTCTGCGGATCTTATATAACTGCTTCATCGTTTCTACTGATTTAAATACCCATTCCTTTTAATCGGCTTCGGAAGTAACAGTGCCTCCTGCTGCGTTCCCTTTCCGTGGACGGCGCGAGCGATAGCGATTTTTTTCTAGACAGCAATGGTTTCAGCGAAGTCGGACACCCCATTGGAAACATAAATTTGTACCACCGCGCATCAGATGCCTAGATATGCGGTATCTCCGGAAATCGCCTCGCTCAGCCTTCAGGCTCAATGGTTAAGCCTAAGTAGAGGAGCTCTAGAAAAAAGACGAGCTGAAACCAACATCCGTCTTGGCAGCCGTCTTGTTTTGTGGTGCAGCAGCAGCCGTCGTTGACGTGGCTGCACTATCTACCTCCGGCCGAGTTTGGGCTCACCGCTGCTCACCGTCGTGCCATGCAGGGTTCGGCGTCGATTAGACCATCAAGGTTACGTTATTGTTTGAACAATTATCACTGAGCGTTTAGATGTGTGGTAAAAAAAAACCCTCCCGCGCTCGCCTGGGCTGCTCGCCCCCCTCCTTCTAGTTTCAGAATTGCATGATTTACCTTTCGGATATGCCTGATGATACCCCTCATAAACATCGATGACAGTGGCGCCTAGAAATCATACTAACCCTAGGCAACGTTTGGCACGCTAGACATTTGCACAGTCCAGTGAAATGAGCAGAGCCTTGTCTGGGAGCTCTCCGACCGCATTGCGTTATCTATGGTCATACTCTCCCGTTCGTCGCGTGATTTGAATGTTAGATAACGTTGAATTTGACAATAAAGCCTTGACTACCAATAGATAGTTTGTGGAACTTGAAAGAGAAGTGGAGAATGTCACATTTCTTTTCCGCAAGACTTTCTATCTGCGAGTGATTCTTGGGCACTTCACTTGGAATGCGCTTGAATCTAAATGTGCACCACCAACAACCTCTTTCGGAAGTCGTATAAACGGTGGAGTCCAGGCGGAGTTGAACAAGGTTGACTAACATTTCGATACACCGCCAAGTGGCATTCAGAGTTTAGGGGCGCAAGAAGGGTATTCGATGCGGAGTTCTTTAGATTAAAGGTGTTTTAAGGGAGAGCCATGTGATGTGGGGCTATAGAGCTACGCAAGGCCAGAGCGGAAAGGAGCGAATAGACCCTGCTCACATGTGAATCGTCGATAAAATACAAAACGCCTGTGAGGGTCATCACAAGGACATCACCTTCCTTGACGGCGGTTCTAGATCATTTTAGAACGAAAGACCTACATGAGCCTATATGCTATGTATCAAAGGACCTCCCCCAGACTCTTGAGCTGGAAATTGAATTCTGTTCATCAAGATAAACAGTGTTTCAGGCTCAAATAGTAATTTACCTTGCATCTGTAGAAAATCAGAAGAGGTTTCAATCATGATGAGCTAATCCTTTAAGCATTCAATTACAATTTCCAACTGGACCATTCACCTTCACGGCAATCCAAGGAGTTAGGAGTGGATATAAAGGCATTTAGCATAGTTTCCTGACCAAGATGCATAAACCAATCCAACCAGTCCCACAAGTTCAATTGGATAAGCTTGTGTTATAGGACTAGCATAGTCATTGAATGGACAGGCATGTAACATGAATCAATAAGTCTGTAAGGCTTATAGGAAATCCAGTTTAGATTTCTGGAAAACAGAAATTCATGTACCTTTGAGGTTCTTAAGAATTTGGATTTGAGAACTCTATGATTATAAGTATCTAGAAAAGAAGGATAAATTGAGCAATCATGAGAAAGAAAGTCAAAGTTTTTGGTAGTTCCATTAACACTCCTTAAACCTCCATGATGTGTATTTCACTATTGTGACACAGTGTACAAGAGAGTAATAAACAAGTGCAGTTCCACAAAGTAAAATTTAAGGAAATTAATCATGAAGCTGTTAATTATCTGCTTTAATTATTCAATTTGATAACAGGAAATTTCTGTTTCAAAATACCCAGAATTTTGAATTGATACTGGTGTTACACCCAACGGTGGGCCGCTACACTAACCATAGCGGTTAGTGTAGCGTAGCGCAGCGGTATTCCTGTTAGCGCTAAGCGTAGCGTAGCGGAATTCCGCCACGACACCGCTAACACTACGCGTGTGGGCCGCAAAAAAGAGCCCACTACGCTGCGCTACAGCGCTTTTTAGCGCTTTTTGGCCGCTTTTTGGCCGCTTTTTCCGCTAAAAGCGCTGTAGCGCAGCGTAGCGTAGCAAAAAACCGCTCAAAACAAGCTAACACTACAATTTTTTGATGAAAAAAAAGTGCCGCAAAGCTACGCTTTTTGGGCCAAAAGCGTAGCAGCCCACCGCTGTTACACCTAAGATAATCCAATGCAGACAACCACCAATGCTGGGTTGCTATGCTACACTGAACTTTTTGGCCACTTCTTTTTAGTGTAATTTTTTTCTGAAGAAACCTCATTTCTAGCAGATAGTTAGCACCTATACATTAAAATAATTCTGCATGAAAATCAGTTTAGCAGAGAAGACAACCAAAATGTGTGCAAAATAGTGTGACAGATGTAATTCTCTAGTGTTTGAAGAAACTCACTAACAGTGGGCATTTCTCTGCTACACTGTGCTACTATTACACTAATTAAAAATTGGGTTCAGGAAAACCATTGCTGCAGCATTTATTTATAGATACACACATGGTAGGTCAATATTCATGGAGTATTTTGTAATTGTGAATAAATTTTTATCATCCAGTTAAATGGATAAAGGTTACTGACAACTTGAATTCAGATTCAAAAATAATTCTTTCAGGGGGATAAACCAATCCCATTCCACATTGTATATTTTTAACTGCAGATCAATGTGACACAGTGAGAAGAATTATACAGCTAAACCAAAAAAAGATTGCGGGCTGTCGAGCTGGAATATCCAAAAACAAAAAAAAACATTGACTGCAGTCACAATGTTTGGAAGAATACAGACAGGAGTACAGGTTGCCATATAACTGCCAGCAGCGCTGATGGGACCTGACCGGCCCCCATGGGGGAAGCTCAGGTGGAGCTGAACCTGGTGGTGAAAGGCGGCTGGGCTGAAATTTGCATCAGTATTCCAATGGTGTTATTCTCATCTCCTGAAAATGAGTGAAGAAAGATAGCAAATTTCACCCAACATGTCATGATCCATACATAAATGGACCTGTATTCTTCCAAAGCTTCCAAATGTAGTCAGTAGATTTTTTTTCTGACTTTGAAGCCCACAAGCTTTCTTGTTATAGCTGTATTTGACTGTGGATTGTTTTCACAGGCAAAACATAACAGAATGAAGTTTTTGAAGGAAATGAAGCCCCAAAAATGAAATAAAATTATTTTCCTCCACTCTGTCAAAGAGCTTGAATTTGAACAATTGGATACACTCAAGCATGTGTAATAGTATAGACATTTGGGTTAGCCTCTTTCAGACCTTTGGCCAGGTTAATCCCTTCCAGGGAGTTGATTTTTAGAAAAACCAAAAATTTGTTGAACCCTGCTATAGAACTTCAGACAGGCTATGCTGTTGATTATATGTGTGGTCTAATTTCCTAAATTTCCTCTGCCAATTGTGGGCAAAAATCCTTTTTTCCTTCAGGATAGTGACTTGCCTGGATTCAGTATTATAGTTTTCAGGAGGTCCTGAATGCTGAGGTTTTAAGGGGGGGGGGGTGTTTTTTCTAACTTCCAGAGGGTCAAATTCCAGAGTCACAACATATGTATCATCAGTCAACAAGTGTGTCACAATTATGCAATAACCTGCTCTCCTAGATGACAAATATGCAACTTGTTTTTTCTCCTTATGAAAGGGTGTCTTTTTTGTTTGCTTCAACAGTGATTAGGTATTTGGAATACAATTTCTGAGAATTTGTCCCTTGGCAGTGGCCACTGTCTGACACTGGAATTTG